ATATTGGCAGGGCACTAAAGATAATGTTCATTCTTCAGCTAGTTATTGTAACATTTTGGATAATCACAGTTTAGAGCACAACGGAATAAAATTCTTTTTTTTTTTGGTAAAATAATTATGACACCATAATATAATGAAATTAATTTTTTTCTGTGATGTATTAAAAGTCTAATAGTTCCATTTTTAAAGGCAAACTTTGAAATAGAATTACTTGGCTGTATTTATAAAAATAAGTATTACAGAATAGCTCCCAGTTAAAGCAGGTCCTCAAATAATATTCATTCAATGTCATTTCATTATAACATTGATGAGATGCCATAGGAACTTAACTCTCATTTATATCAATTAGCCTTTGGTAAATTTAGTTTCATTATATGCATTTCACTTAAAGTTGCAGAACCTATTGATGATGTGAAGTGAGGACTTACTCTGCTTGTTTATAAAAAAGGTGCCTTCCTGGTGATCAATGGTTTTGACAGAAACTAGAGAAAATAGGACTAGAGAGTTGGCTTTCCCAAGCACAACTTGTGCTTTTAAGAAGACGTGGGAGAGTTGAAAGGCAAAGGACATGTAATTAAACACATTTGATTAAAAACATAATTTTGGCTGATTTCTTTAGTCCTTGGATAAAACTTTGTACAACAATAATAACTAACTCTTCTACATGCTTACATGAGCCAGACACTGTTCTAAGTGCTTTATGTGTCTATCCAGTCCTCTCAAAAACCCTATGAGATGGGTACTGTTTTTATTCCCCGCTTTACAGATGAGGAAACTGAGGTGCAGAGAGATTAAGTTGTGTGCCCAGAGTTAGCTGATGCATGGCAGAGCCAGGCTTTAGACATGGCAATGGGACTCAGCCTCCGTGTCATCATCTCTACCCACTAATGCCTCTGTAGCTCAAGTCAAGTCTCTGTAGGATGGCTTTTATTTGAAGTTAGCTTGCACATTTTAATGGAACAAGACATATTTTGCAAATTTTAAACTTTACTATTTATGGAACTTTCATGGTGAGCATTTCACAAAAGCCTAGTAAAAAACAAATGCATTTTTTAATGGTAGGACTTTGCCTTTTTTTCTGGTTCCTTCCAATTCTCTTGTTACAAGTCATAACTTGACAGTACAGCCCATTTCTCCCTTTTTGTGTTGTTGTACGTGGATTGAATGCTCAGAACTGAAAGCTATCTTGCTATCAATGTGAGAATGGAGCCAATACCAGAGCAGGCCGAAGCAAAGAGAATCACTGAAAAATAGAGAAGACTTAATAAACCATGCCTGGAGTCCTCCATCTCTTGACTTCCTGTTATCTGACATAATGTGTTTCCTTATTGATTAACACAATTTGAGTGAAAGATTTATGTTATTTGC